AAACCAATCCAACTAAGTGTAATCCTAGACTTTTAGAAACCTTAAAATGTAGGCTTGGCATCCACAGTGGGGCTGTCAGCTCATACAGGGAAGGCAAAGAAATGGCTGGAAGAATGGCAGGTCCCAAGAAGCAGAGAGCTTGGTCTACCAGTCTGAACTTAAATAAATTGTATTTTCTGGCCAGGGGTGATAAGGCGTAAATTTGAAGTCTTGTGTTACACTTACCCATCATTATACCCCGAAATGGGGAAGAAGAGCAGCAGCATGTTCCAAGTTTATAGCAAAATTGTCTCTGTGTAAACATCTCAGCAGTCTTTGATGTTGAGCAGAGAGGAAAATAATCCTCAGAAAAGCCAGGAAGGAGCAGAGAGCTCTGTAGTCCAGGCAGGGAGGCTGGCAAAGGCGTGCAGCCAGCAGGAACTGTGTTTACTCAGAGCCTCTTCTCCAGCACCCACAAAGGTAAACTGTTCTCACAGTCTTAGTTCCTAAAAGGATTGTTTGCACTACACCTTTGCAGAGAAGCAAATAAGAATGCTTGGATACAGTTAAGGGGAGAAGCTGGGCAGGCCACAGTAGAGAAAAGAGAGAAGAAAGTTTATATCCTCTGATACAAAGTATTTTAAGAAGGAAGCGAGGGAGGAGGAGACAGGCTCCAGGAAAGTTCATGAGACTCCTATCTCCAATTAATCACTAAAAAGCCAGAAATAGAAATTTGGCTCAAGTGATAGAATGCTAGCCTTCAGTAAAAAAAGCTCATGCTCTGAGTTCAAGGCCCCAGGACACACACACACACACACACACACACACACACACACACACACACACATACACACACACACACACACACACACACACACACACACACACACACACACACACTACAGGAGATTAGAAAGCAAAGGGAGCCAGGGGTAGGAATGGTCAAGGTCTCTGGGAAGGAGCAATAGAAGCTGAGGCCTGATCAGGGTGGCCAGACCAAGCCTGTGGGGAGAACATTCTTGGAAGAAGAAATTGTATGTGCAGAGGCTCTGTGGGAGAAGGCTTGTTGACTTCCCAGGAACTGAGAGGCCAGGATGTGTGTGGGAGCATCTGAGAGGTAAAAGAGAGGTGTACCAAACCACGCAGGCTGCAGGAAGGATCTAGAACTTGATTCCAAAGTCATAGCCACAGAAGGGTTTTAGATTTCCTCCCAGCTGTCCTGTCTTGGTGCAGGATTTGGGAGCTGTAGATTGTCAGTTTGTCATCTCTCAGACTTGGCTGTCAGCACCTTCTGGTTCCCAGAGGTGAGCAATTCTGAGTGAGTCAAGTCATACAAGCACACTCATGAAAGTTCCTTTAGCATCTAGTCCCCAAGAGAAAGAGCCAAGAAGATAAGCCTGATACCAGGGCACAAGCAGGAACCAACCACTTAAGCTAAGATGAAGTCCAGTCCTGTCCAGATAGAGAGTAAGTCTCCATCCACTCACACTGTAGGAGCCCATCAGCTACCTCCTCTACAAAGGAACTTGCATCTCAAGAGGTTTTAGCCCTGGATCTGCACTGAGCAGTCACCTAATCAGTGGTCAACTGATAGGAAGAGCCTCCATCTCTTCTTATAAGTGGGAGAACCAAGGGAGGCTAGAATAAAGGACAGCAGGGTGAATTGGGAGTCTGTGTCCCAGCTGGATATGTCCTGCTGCATTACCCCAGGCAAGTCACTTCTTGTCTCCCAGGTTCATATCCTTACCTGTCAAGAATGTCATGCAATGATATCTAAGAATGCTTTCATTTCCCCAACTTTGTCACTCTCTCCAGATGCTTTACAGGGGTCACCACCTTTTCCAGTGCCACTTGACCTGTTGTGACAGAGCTGGCTTCAGCAGCACACACAGCATTCTAACTCCATCCCAATATACTGAAGTTGAAGGAACCAAAGAATAGGAAGAGGAAGATAGTGAGGGGTGGAATTCAGCATAGCGATCATCTGAGGCTAAGTTGAAATTTACTTTTGCTGACAAATCTCTTCATGTGGATAGTCAAATCAATATTACGAGCAGTTCTGAAGACCGTGAGGATATTTAGAGCATATACCAACGGGGGCAGGGGAGGGGAGGTCTATTCAAACACTATAGAAGTCACTTCTGATGTGTTCAACCTCTTACAATGGAAGTGCTAACTATAAAATGCTCTTATCTGCTTGTTACAGTGGTCCCCAAGAGCATTCCCCCAGGGGACAAGTTCATTAGCCAAGTTCAATCACTATATGCCATAGTAATGATTTAAAAAAAAGAAAAAGAAAACACTTTGTTCTTTGAAAAACTGTGTTTGCCTTAACCCCTGCTGCTTTCCCCCATTCTGAAGCTTAGAGAGTATGGCTTGGTTGTCCTGAAATAATGCATCTAGCCAGGCAATCTGAGCTGTTCTGAATAGTGGGGAAAATCTGGGGGTTTGCTGGTCCTTCTTCAGATCCTGAAACAAACAGTAGGACTTGTACTTGTTTGCAGTCTCCATAATCCTTGTACATAGTAGGAGAGCAAGAATGTGAATGTTGACTGGCTAACTGGAAAACAAAGCTGAGAGGAATGACTACATGCTGCTATTGGGAAATGACCCAGTGAAAAAATTGTTGTGTTCCTCCCAGGATGGCACTTCTAGAAAGAATATGTGTTGCGAACTGACAAACGGCTTCAACTCCTAGCTTTTCTACTTGTTAGCTGTAATGAACTTAGCAAGTCACTTAACCTTTCTGGGCCTTGATTTCCTCCTTTGCTTAATGAGAGCAGCAATACCCAGCCATGGTCATGGCTGTGAGAATTAAATAAGATAGCATAGATAAATGTCTAACACTATGACTGGCACTATGACTGGTAGAAGACCATGTGTCTCCCTGTCATTTGGTCATCCAGATCTTCATGAGAAATGGAGCATCCATTTGTCTCCCCCCTACACACACACACACCTGTTCTTTGCCTGCTCCTGCACTGGAGTTTGGGAGCCCAGTGGGATTTTCAATCACCTCTGTGCTGCGGGAATGGACAATACAATGAGGCAGAGTCAGGGAAGTGGACTGGACCCAAATCTCAGTGGCTGCAGGAATCCAACACAGTCAGCCTGGCTCTCTTCCAACCAATTTCACCAGATGCAATTTGGCTTCCGTTTGGGGTTGCAAAGCACTTATATAATCATAATAACCCACAGCATTTGTAGAAAGCTCTTACAGTTCCCAAAGCACTTTTGCATGCTTTATCTCATTTCAGCCTCTTGATAACCTTGAGAGATAGCAAAGGAAAAGACTAGCATTCCCATTTTATGGACAAGAAATGGAGACTTGTTTGGTTCACCTGCCCAGTGACACAAAATCAGACACTATTTTGTGTCAAAACGTGGACAAAGATCTCTGTGTTCCTTGCTCTGGGCTGTTTCTGCACACCACCACCCCACATCTTTGTAATCATGCTTTCATCAGGCAAAAGTCACCCAAGCTCCTGTTGTGTGCCAACAATGAACTAAGTTCTGGGATTCTTATGTAAAAGACAGGATCAGGTTCAGAAGATATGGAGGGACAAGTATTCAGGGCTGTGTGAAGGATGCTCAGGTGAAGGAACAAGGAGAACCAAGAAGAAGGGTTACCATCTCAGGAAGGCATCCTGGAGGCTGGGATACACATGGAGTTCAGGAGTCAAAGAACTAAGTAGAGCGCTGAAAGTATGTGAACCTTCTGGCTATGTTGGGTTGCTGCACACTATGTGTGGTCTGGCTCCACCAGCCAGCCACTCACTCACTCACTCATTCATTCCTTCTTTAAACGTATATGCGTGGAGCACCACCAGGCCAGATACCATATTGGCCACTAGAGAAAAAAAAATGTGCAAGTGAGCAAATGTATTCCCTAAACTCATTGAATCTACCTGTTAGCAATGCCTGTGGACTCAGGTGGGAAGTAGGAGGCTGGAAGGTGGGAAGAACAAGCAAAGCACATCACAGAAGACTGGGTATAGAGGGCCTGGAGTTTAGCCTAAAGGAAATGGAGAGCACTCATGGATTTTCAGAATGGGATTAACACAATCCAATACACATTTCAGAAAGAGTGAGCCACAATTAGTATAGAGGAAGGCTAGGGAATGTTATCTGGAACTGAGAGGCCTGTTAGAGAACCAGCCCTGGCAAGAAATTCTTAGATCCTAAACTAAAGCATTAAAGAAGAGAAGAGTCTAAACTTAAGGCAATTAGAGACACTTGCAGGTTGATGATACAAGGGTGTGAAAGAGTCTGACTGGATCCCCCTGGACAGGTGATAAAGCTCTCCTCAGGACAGAAATTTGGGGATAGAACTCTAGTCAGGAAAGAGAACTCTGGTGGGATGGAAACTGTGGGGGGGGGAGGGGAATCTGTGTCCTCTGAGACCTGCTGAGCACGGGGTCTCTGTGTGATACCTGGAAGGAAGGTACTTTTCAAAAAGTGGAATCAATGGCTGGGAAAGTAGCTCAGTGGTAGAGTGCTTGCCTCACAAGCATGAGGCCCTGGGTTCGATTCCTCAGCATCACATAAACAGAAAAAGCCAGAAGAGACAATGTGGCTCAAGTGGTAGAGTGCTCGCCTTGAGCTGAAGAGCTGAGGGACAGCGCCCAGGCCCAGAGTTCAAGCCCCATGACCAACAAAACAAAAGAGGAATCAGTATGTCTGGAGCCCAAGAGAGAGTTGGAGGTATAGGTTGGAGGGTGGGGAGTTTATAGGTGATATTTGATACTTGGAAGTAAATGGGACCTCCCAAAGAGACCAGATTCCATTCCACAAGCCCCAAAGAGTATCCAGACTCATTCTTTGATATCATAATCCCACTTGGCCAAAGTCAAGCCATCAGCCAAGCATGAGGCATCCATGGTCCCCAAGAAGGGTTGGTGGTGATGGGTTGTGGAGGACTCTGGCCTACTGTGGGACTTCTGGGATCTCCCCAATCCCTGGAACTCATTGTGAAGTCACCATGTGCTTCTCTCTCTTTCTCTCTCTCTTCTCTCCTTCAGGTGTTTACAAAATATGGGAAGTGTTACATGTTTAACTCAGGAGAGGATGGCAAGCCTCTGCTCACCACGGTCAAGGGGGGGACGGGCAACGGGTTGGAGATCATGCTGGACATTCAGCAAGATGAGTATCTGCCCATCTGGGGAGAGACAGGTGAGCTGGGCTCAGGGACTGGGGCACTGGGCAGTGGCAAGGGGTACAGGTTCAGCTCAGAAAAGCTGGTATAGTCCAGGTGAGCTATCTTGGCCTACCCTAGGAAAGGCTACTATCCAGCAAGGGTTTGGTGACATACTGGCAAAAAAAAAAATGGTGAATACTTCCCTGACATGGGGTGTTAAGCCCTGGGTTCCCTCACATTTCTCAATATAGGAGAGGGGCAGAGGGTGGACATATTGGACATAGAGAAGGAAGGCAGCATGGAGAGGCATTAGAAGATATAGAGAAAGAACCAAAGAGAGGTAGGGTTGGGCAGGTGATTGGCTAGATTTCCTCTCCCACCCATCCCAAATACCCAACCAAAAGAACAGGTTCCTGCCTACTAAGGGAAGGAGGAGGGGCCATGTAGTGCTGGGAAAGCGAAGGACATGAACTTGGAAACCCAGAACCACGTCTCTGTGGGAGCCCCTAAGGTCCTGTGTTTGCTTATTTCACACATTCATTTTTTTCTGTTACTCTACAATTTATTGGCCATGTCTACTCTCCTAGGCTTTGCACCAAAGTGTGTTAGGATGAAAGAGACCAAGTTTTTGATCACAGCCTAATGGAGAGACAGAGACAGAGACAGAGAGAGACAAAGAGACAAAGACAGAGAGAGGGAATTACAGGAGATAGGGGTCTGAGAAAGTCTTAGTGCATGGGGTATGGGGATTGTCCTGGTTTGTCTGGGTAGGTTTGATGTCATCACAAGTGCCTTTCTAAGAGGGACACAGGTAATATGATATGATGCTGCCATAAAACAAGGAATCCTGGGAGACCACACTATGCCCAAGAGCGAGAGGAAGTATGGATGCAAAAGAAAGCCAAAGTAAAAGTAATGCTGGGCTCCACATGCAAAGGGGAGGCTTTCAGAGAGCTGAGGTCCATAGAGGATCCTTAGAGAACTCACCCAGGGAGAGAAAGGAAGAAAGGATCCAGTGGTAGAGAGACCCTGAGCCCTCTGGGCGAAGGAAGGAGTGAAGGCCAGGCAGCCCAGGCCTTACCTCCTGCTTTTCCACTAATGCTTCCTCCTATGGAGGAAGGATCTAAGCACACCCAGCTGCTGAGGCAATCAGGGTTTCCACCCCAGAAGGACTGATTGCCTGCTTCAAGATCCCCGCAGCATACACACACATCCACACTGCACTCTTTGTGCCCTGCCAGGACCTCTCTCCTGAGTGCCAAGATGAAGAAAGGTTGGATTTGGAAATTGACCTTCAGAGGAGAGATAAAACAGCCTGTCACGTGTTTGTTGTGCTTACCTCTGCTCCAGGGCACTCTGAGCCACATCCTGCTTGCTGAGGAGCAGCTCCACGGACCCTGTCTACTTCTCTGTGTTAACTGCCTCTCCTTCTCCAGTCCCACATACAGCAGGGTGAAGCTGATGTGTTCCCACTAAACTCTGGCTTCTCAGAGCTAGTGGGCAGAATATCCCCGAGACCAGACTACATCCTCTGACCATGGGGCCTCTAAACATCCTGGGGATTCTGCGGGGCTGGATTCCCAAAGAGAGGCCCTTCTCATAGAAACCAGAATCCTAAAACACCTGCAGGAAAGGAGAACAATCAGGAAATCAAATGAGTCCTGTCGACCCCATACCCAATACGTAGGTGGAGTTTGTTTGGTCTTTCCGTGGTGATGTAAGAGTTCCCAGACTGTCACTCTGATGTACAGACAATGCAAATACACACACACACACACACACACACACACACACACACACACACACACACACACACACAGAGCCCCCTTCTCTGTCTGTCTCTCTGTCTCTGTGTCTCTATCTCTGTCAGTCTGTCTCTCTCTGTCTTTCTTTCCCTCTCCCTTTCTCTCTTCAGCTTCTATCATAGACCTTTTCACCCAGCACAACTTCCTACAGAGATTTGGCCTTGGACATGAGCTTTGGCTGATAGGAAGGGCTGACCCCAGAGGCACAGTGGGATGTAGGATGTCTGTATTCTTCCTCACAGAGAAAAAAAAAATGAAATTCTAGGAAAGAATAAAATTCTACACTAAGCCAACCTGTTTGTTTCCCTGCGGCCTAGTGTGAAGTAATGATACACTTGAGGCCTTGCAGCAAGTCTGACCCATGTTCCTGGGGCATCAGTCAGTCTGACAGGACCTAGCGCTGTGCCAACTCAAGACAAATTTATAATGGTAATGACGGATTTTCCACATGCCTAACACAGTGCAGGTGACTGTCAGGGATGCAGAAGATACAAGACAAAGGTCCTGCCTTTCAGGTGCATTTTTATCTCATTAGGAAGCCTGACATGCACACAGAATGTACAGGAGAATTCCTTCCAGGAGCTCGAGTTGTCCCTTGGAAATAGAGCAGCACTATCCACTTAAATAGTTTCCTCTGAGGCTATGTGAAGAAGAATAGTTTAAAAAAAAAAAAAAGGCAGGAGTTAGGAGAAACTAGTTAGAGACGACTGGTCAGTGCTATCCTAAAGAACTTTCTGGAATCCTGAGGATTTTCTCTGTCCAGTATGTTAGCTATGGAAAGGGAGTATAAGGAACTGATTCTTTTTACTTGTTGTTATAAAAGTAATGTACAGAAGAGTTACAATTATGTAAGTCAGGTAATGAAAGAACTTATTTTTTTAATGTGCAGATACTGGGGCTTGAATTTAGCAAAATCTTTTACCTGTTTTGCTAAAGGCTAACACTCTACCATTTGAGCCATAACACATTTCTGGATTTTTGCTGACTAATTGGAAGTAAGAGTCACAGACTTTCCTGCCCAGGCTGGCTTTGAACCACAGTCCTCAGATCTCAACCTCTTGAGTAGCTAAGATTATAGACATGAGCCACCCGTGCCCAATTGGAACTGATTTTTTTTTCATTGGAACTTTATTTTTAATATTATTTAATTTTTTATTAATTTAAAGCTAAGAGGCCCCCTACCATACTCAAGGGAAGTTAGTGAACTGGCATGCAGTACAACTAGATCTGGTTGATTCCTGGCCTCTGCAGCCAACTCCCATATTCCTCTAGGTCTGTGTTACTCCCCATCCTTGGCTTTCTCCTCTCCATGGCCTCGGAGTGACAGGCAGAGTTCATCCCCACTAGAGAAGGAGGTTAGATTACATCACTTCCGCCGGGGCCACCCAACTGAAACACTGGAATTCTTACATTGGAGATTCCTCCTCCATTGTCCCTTTCTTCAGGCTGAAAAGCCACTGGGCAATGATCTGGCCCTTGGAGGTTCTTGCCAGTCAAAGTTGCTTCTGTCCTGAGTGAATAGGAAGAGAAGGAGAGTCTTATAGGAGTGGGAGTAAAGGCAACAATACCTGAAAGAGGATCACAGGCAGGCTGGGGTAGGTGAGGGATGTCTAGCTGCAGAGCTACCACCAGCAGGGACACAGATACATCCAATTGCTTGGTTGTTGTCCTGAGACCTATAAGTACAGCTCTTCCACAGTCATCTGGAGGCCACCTTCCTGACCTGCCAGGCCATATGGCCCCACAGATGACAGCTCATTTCCTTGATAGTCTCACTGTTCAAACAGAGCAATGAAACCAGGTCCCTGCTGGAGATATTAGGGAGAAGAAAGGAATTGACATGTGGCTGTTGAGGGAGTGAAGTAGGATAGAGAAGATGTGTGACAGAGCCTCACAGACCCCAAATTAATCCCAGTTCCCCTTTTCTTAGCTACATGACTAAGGGGCTGGGAATGTGGGTTAGTGGTAGAGTGCTTGCCTAGCATGCATGAAGCTATGGGTTCAGTTCCTCAGTACCACATAAACAGAAAATGCCGGAAGTGGCGCTGTGGTTCAAGTGGTAGAGTGCTAGCCTTGAGAAAAAGCAGTTCAGAGACAGTGCCCAGACCCTGAGTTCAAGCCCCAGAACTGGCAAAAAGAAAAAAAAAACTTCATGACTAAGACTAAGTGGATGAGCCTCGATTTCCTCATCTGTAAAGTACAGATGAATCTGGATGGCTAACAGATCCAAAGAGCTCCCTGCAGACTGCAAAAATCAGAATGACAGAGGACTTTCAAATGCCCTACACCCATCATGGGAGCCTAGAGCCACCTCAAAGGGAACCTCTGATGCACCTTTGCCTCCTCCCCCCCCCCACTCCCCGCCTTTTTCCTAGTAGTAGAGCTTGAACTCAGAGCCTTGCATTCCCATTTGGCTTTTTCCCCTCAAGGGTAGTGCTCTACCACTTGAGCCACAGCTCTACTTCTGGCTTTTTGCTGGCTAGTTGGAAATAAAGTATCTCCTGGACAGGACGGCTTCGAACCACAATCCTCAGATCTCAGCATCCTGAATAGCTAAGATTACAGATGTGAGCCACTGACACCCAGCAGCCTTGCCTCATTGTGCTATTTTACTCTGAGAAATTTAAGGAAGCAGTGAAGGAGCCACTTCCTAGTGTAATTCGGGCTAACTGGCAGAGCTCTTGTGGGATGTGGCTATGGTTTTCAAGACCAGTCTATAAATACAGCTCCTATGCATGAGTAGAGAAAGGCAGCCCCTGTAGGCTCAAGATTAGCAAGTAGAAGTCAACTCCACTAACAGTACCAAAAATATTTCTTCTTCCAAGCTAATAATATTCCACCTCAGGGGGCTTAGGGATCAAACACCTCTCTGTGGGCCCCCCCCCCCCCGCTAATGTGCCATTTTTAAGTTGCATGTGGACCTAGACAGCATGACCCAAAATGGGCCCTGTGGAGCTTCAGGAGTTTGAGATGTTATCTGTGAGACAAATAGCAAAGAATACAGGGTCAAAAAGAATCTAGGGCTAGACAGTGTCGCACACATTTATTCATCTTTTTAATATGCTACATCATGAAACCCCAAGGTAGTAATATCGCACGCAGCATTTATTTCCTAAATGCCTTTGGCCTTGGAAATCTTTTCCATATAGGAGCTCACCAAATACACTTTTTTTTTTTTTTTTTGGAAAAGCTGTCCTAGACTATTGAAATACAGATTTCATGAGCAGACT